AAGCTCGCCATCAGAAATAGGGTTTCTTCATTTTCTCTCAATCGGCTACTCCAATCACTGTGAAACTTCAGATCTGAAGTCGTCCAGGTCAGATCTACATAGATCTATAATTTTTTTTGGTTCAGATTCCTTTTGAAGAGTGTTCTGCCCCTCTTCTTGTTCGACAGTCCAGAAAACTTACCTTTTTTGGACTGTCATCAATTCGAGATCTCTGTGTGACTGGTTTCTTTATTGGTTTTTGATTCCTCTCTGTGGTGTGTGGTTGGGCACACTTATTCCACCGAGTTTTGGACTTTCTTGAACCTTTGGATGCTCTATTTTCTCAGTCTTTCTTTGCTTACTTTGAAATGGCCATGGAGAAAAGAGATATTCTACCAGTAAATTTCAATAGAACAAACTATGCCTTCTGGAAATTCCATTTCCAGTTCTATGTTGAAGGAAATGGACTATGGGGGTTCGTGGATGGTTCCACAAAACAACCAGATGGGTCTGATTCTAAGGGGCTGAAACAGTGGAAGATCGACAATGCCAAAGTAGTATCTTGGCTTCTCAGATCTGTTGGAACCGAGATTGCTATCCCAATGAGAAGTTATCGAACTGCTAGTGAGATGTTCACCTACATGGGAAAGGTGTATCAACAGTCCAACATCTCACGTCAGTATCAGATAGAGACAAAGATATTTTCTTACAGTCAGGGTAAGAAGAAAATACAAGAGTACTATGCTGGTTTCATGAACCTGTGGACGGAGTATGAATTAGTTCACATGGGTGAAAACACCTCTACTTGCTACATCAAAAATCTGAAAGAATACTTTGATGGGAGGAAAATCATGCATTTTCTGATGCATCTGAGACCTGAATATGAAATTGTAAGGTCCAACATTCTCAGTAGGGGCACTCCTCCCACACTTGACACAGTTTTGGGGGAGCTTCTCAAGGAGGAAACTAGACTCATTACTCAGTCGACCTTGAGGTCAAAATCTGATTCAGGAACAGAGACAGCCTTTCTGATGAATAAATCCAAGCCCAAGAAGGACTTGTCTCGTGTACAATGCTATGAATGCAAGGAACACGGTGTTGTTTCACACTGCCGAAAGAAAATTTTCAGCACCTACTGCAAACAGCATGGACATATTATTCCTGAATGTCCTACCAAACCAGCTAAGGTGAATGGTTCTAGCACTAAGAAGAATCAACACAAGGCCTTCCAGACAACCATTGAAAGTACAGACACAGGGAGTACAGCTTCAGCTGGAATGGATGAAAATTCTGGGACTCTTACAGAAGAAAGAATGCGGCAGCTAGAATCCTCAGCCATTTCCTTTGCATTTTCAACCATCAGTCTTTCGGGTGAGTCATCCTATTATTGTTCCTCCCCTAGCCACTTATAGATCATTGATTCCGGGGCCTCTAACCATATGACAGGGGCTCACACTGGTTAGTTCATTAAACCCAAATCCTTGAATAAGCATATTGTTACTGCTAATGGAGAGAAACTAGATATTGTTGGTTGCAATGATTTGTCCTTAACTACATCTGTTAATTCTTGCTTTCATCTACCTAAAACTTTCTTTGTTCCTAAACTTACAACTAATTTGACCTCAGTCGATCAGCTAGTTGAGGATGTAACATTGTTTCCTTTTCCCATGATGGTTGGTTGATACAGGACCAACGCACTGGGACAGTGAAAGGGAAGGGGCGTAGACTGGGTTGGCTATTTGCCTTGGAATTTGAAAAGACACAGGGGCACTCATCCACATCCTATTTACTTACTACCACTCCTAGTACTAAAGTTACTTGTAGAAATAATGTATGGCACTTGTGGCATAGACGTCTTGGGCTCCCCTATGCAAATAAACTTGAGTCTTTGTTTCGTGATGGTTATTTGTCTTCTAAAGCTACTTCTTTTAATAATGTTGATAAATCTTGCATTTCTTGTTGCTTGAGTAAGAGCCATGTTTTACCCTTTCCTTCAGTTGTTGAACATGCGTCTGTTCCTTTTAAAATAATACATAGTGATGTTTGGTCGTCTCCAATTGTTTCCATATTGGAGTTTTCCATTCAGACTCGGGGGGTGAATACCTTGATGGAGATTTTCAAACTTTCTTGAGAGACAATGGAATACAATCCCAGAGATCTTGTCCTAGCACTCCACAACAAAACGGAGTGGTAGAACGCAAGAACAAACATATCCTGAGCATAGTTCGAACTCTTCTTCATGATTCCCATGCTCTTACTTCATTTTGGGTGGAGGCGGCCAGCACTGTTGTATACCTTATTAACATTCTTCCATCATTTGTCTTGCAATCATACATCTCCTTTTCAAAGTTTGTTTCACCGTTCACCTGATTTTTCTATTCTTCATGTCTTTGGTTGTGTATGTTTTGTTCACCTTCCCCCACATGAACGCACAAAGTTGACTCCCCAATCAGCAATGTGTGCTTTTGTAGGATATAGCCCTGATCATAAGGGCTTCCTTTGCTATGATTCGAAGTCTCGTCGAGTTCGCATATCCCGCAATGTCATCTTCCTTGAGAACATGTCCCTTTTTCCTCACATTGTTAAGTTGCCTGCTACTTCCATTTCGATACTACATTCTTTTGACTCTACATGTTCTTCAGATTCACTTTCTATTCCAGAGTTGCTTCATGTCTATTTCAGAAAGATGCTAGCTGCTCAAGCTCCTATCGCTCTGCCCCCTTCATCACCAGAAGCTGATCCATCATCTCTAGCCACGAGTTCTCATCCTTCTCTTGATCCTGTAAGTACACCTGCACCTATCCATGATCCTCAACCATCCTCTAATCCTCCTTTACGTCGCTCTTCTCGAATTTCTCATCCTCCTAACCGTTATGGGTTTCCTTCAAACCATAGCTCCTTCTCTGTTGTTCTATCTGCCACAAATATTCCCACATCATACCGGAAGGCTATGGCTGTCCCGCATTGGAAAGAAGCATGGATACTGAGCTCCAAGCCCTTATGGATAATGATACTTGGGATATGGTTCCAGCCCCTCCAGATGCCTCTCTTATTGGAAGCAAGTGGGTATATTCAATGAAACTCAAATCTGATGGGAGTCTTGATAGATACAAGGCACGTTTGGTGGCACAAGGGTACAAGCAGGAGTATGGGATAGATTATGATGAGACATTTGCCCCTATAGATAAGATGACCACTGCCCGTCTATTGTTGGCTATATCTGCAATTAAACACTGCAACATTCATCAGATGGATGCCAAAAACACTTTAAGGAAACTGCTTATATGAAGCCTCCACTGGGATACTATGACAGTTCTTCCCTAGTATATCGACTCAAAAAGTCCTTGTATGGCCTTAAACAAGCCCCTAGGGCTTGGTTTGAGAAATTTCGTTCAGTGATCACAAATGCAGGATTCACACAGAGCTCTTTAGATTATTCATTGTTCATACCGAGGAGTCCCCAAGGAATTACATTACTACTTTATGTGGATGACATTCTTATTACCGGTGATGACAGTCAAAGTATTCCCTCTCTGAAACAGCTACTCAGTCAGTCTTTCAAGATGAAGGACCTCAGTCATCTCACTTACTTTTTGGGTCTAGAAGTTACTCACTCTCCCCATGGGTATTTTGTTAATCAACACAAGTATGCGATGGACCTTGTGAGATCTGCAAACCTGAGTGATGACAAACAGGTTGACACACCTCTTGAGATGAATATGAAACTTTCGAAAGATGATGGGGACCTCCTAGAAGATGCCACTCTTCATCGAGAGCTTGTCGGTAGTCTGATATACCTCACCATGACGCGTCCAGATATCTCTTATGCGGTTCAAGTGGTCAGCCAGTTTGTTTCTTCTCCTCGACAACCGCACATGACGGCAATTCTTCACATTATCAGATACATCCGTGGAACACTTTCACATGGCATTTGCTTCCCTACATCTCCTTCGCTTAGCTTATCCGCATATGCAGATGCTGATTGGGCAAGATGCCCAGACACTAGACGCTCCACTACTGGCTGGTATGTCTTTCTTGGTGACTCTCTTATATCCTGGAAGTGTAAGAAGCAACCGACCGTTTCCAAATCATCTACCGAGGCTGAGTATAGGGCTATGTCATCCGTCTGCGGTGAGATTATATGGCTGAGAGCCCTCCTTAATGATCTTGGCATCTCCTTGTCATCCCCAATTCCTATTTATGCTGAAAATGTGAGTGCTATCAAGATTGCATCCAACACAGTCTTCCATGAGTGCACCAAACATATAGAGGTTGACTGCCACTTGATTAAAGACTAGTTTTCTGCTGGACACATATCTCTACCGCATGTGTCTTCTCCCTATAGCTTGCTGACATATTCACGAAGGCTATGACCCATGCTCGCCACCAGTTTCTAGTTGACAAATTGATGCTCGTACCTCAGCATCAGTTTGAGGGGGGTGTAGAGATTGATCTATGTCTCTTACATCTTCTTTCCTTTTTTGGCCCTTGGGACCACCCTTTTATATTGTAACTTATGTACACTATCTTCTATTTTATTATTTATTGTAAGACAAGGACATAACTGTCCTTTCCATAACTTGTATTATCTCATATATTAGTTAAACATTTTTGGGCGTGATGTTCAAGACAAAACACACCCTTTTCACTCTCAACTCTTTCTCCTCTGTTTTGATCCGAGTTGACGAAAACAGGGGACCTTCAGGGAAAACTTCTTTTGGGTTGTATTGTAATTCTTGATGTCATTTTGGGGTCAACACTCTTTGTCTGAGTGGTTGACATTGCAAGATGTAATTTGATATCCTTAATGAAAGTCACCGTTTCCAATCAAAAATAATAATAATAATAATAATAAAGAGATTCTAAATTCCAACACCTAGCACATCTCCACCTATAGCCATAATCCTTTCCAGGAGAATCAGCCAATAACAACATAGACTTATTATAGATCACTCAAAAAATAGAAATTAGAATGTCAATACATGAGAACCAAGATTGTATAGCCAATTTCAAAGTCAAACCTGTTTCCATAGTTCTTCAGCCTCCTTAGTACGACCACGCAGCTTTGCCCGATCAGAGATGGCAATAGCCCAATTATAGAAGGCCTAGCATATAATGACAAAAATATTACTAATATATAAAGTGGGAATTTAACTCAAACATAATTTTTGTGTGGCAACCCTATGTTACAGATATATAGAACAGCCATAGAAACAGAATCATTGTCATCATCATTTAAGCCTTGTCCCAATCAGTGTTCCAACAGAGGTATATATATATATGTTGAAGTTTGACCTGCCATAGAATTCTGT